AGTACCTGCCTCTCTTCCAGCACTACTGCAGGCAACTTTTTGAAATGTTGGTGCTCTCCTCACTTCTTGTACCTTCTCAGGGCAAGAGGGAAGCTTCATGCAACTGGGACTCTTGCTTTCCCAGGTTTTCTGTTATTAATAAACATGTTACTATTTTTTGATGTCAGAGAAAACAGATACAACTTTGGACTTGGAGCAGAAGGTGGGAAAGTTTCCAACGAGCTTTGGTATGTCCGTGCTCTGGGTTGGCAGCAAATTGCTGCACATCATAAAATCATAGCACAGTTTGTATCGGACAGGATCTTAAAGATCATCTAATTCCAACATCCATCAACTTCACATCTCTCATGAGATCCCACCTGGAATACTGTGTTCAGCTGTGGGGCCCCCAACATAAAAAAGACCTGGACCTGTTGGAGAGAGTCCAGAGGAGAGACACAAAATTAATCAGAGGGCTGGAGCACCTCCCCTATGAGGACAGGCTGAGAGAGTTGGGGTTGTTCAGCCTGGAGAAGAGAAGGCTCCGAGGGGACTTAATAGCAGCTTCCAGTACCTGAAGGGGGCTACAGGAGAGATGGGGAGGGACTCTTTATCAGGGAGTGTAGTGAGAGGACAAGGGGTAATGGGTATAAGCTGAAAGAGGGGAGAGTTAGACTAGACATTAGGAAGAAGTTTTTCACTGTGAGGGTGGTGAGGCACTGGCCCAGGTTGCCCAGGGAAGCTGTGGATGCCCCATCCCTGGAGGGGTGCAAGGCCAGGCTGGATGAGGCTTTGAGCAACCTGGGCTAGTGGGAGATGTCCCTGCCCATGGCAGGGGGGTTGGAACTTGATGATCTTTAAGGTCCTTTCCAACTCAAACCGTTCTATGATTCTATGATTCCCCGCCCCATGCTCCCACCGGGCACGACTGCAGCTCTGTGCAGCTCTGGCAGTCGTTAGTACAGTTGGACAATACGTCTCACTATCCACTGCATCCTCCCAGCAGCCCACATAGGAGGCACCACTTCCCTCCAGCTTATGGTGTAAGAAATGGGGACAGAAAGGTGAAACAACCTGCCCAAGGTCAGGCAGAGAGCTGAGGGATGAGCTCAGGTATAGACTGCTTAGGGCCTGGCAGAAATCTTTGCTTGTTCGGACAGCTCAGACCGTGCTGGTTTCCAGACAGTAACACCTCCATTATACAATATATTTTTTGCATGAGTTTGCTGGAGTTGTAATAAGCTTATCAAGGTGATAACTGTTAGGATAAACCCTACAATCTTGTCCATCACTCAGGAAGAGAAACAAATAGAAAAAACCATAAATTCAGCTTTTCCAGATGTGTCAGTCAGCTCCAGGCTTTCTTCTCAGTGACAAGCAATCAAGAGGACTCCTACAACCAGCACTCCGTGTCCGCTAGTACAGGAAATTACCTCCCCAGTCCAGACCTCACATCACAGGCTGCTGCTTTTGGTTCGAGCAATTTTATGCAACTACGCTACCAGCTGCACTAAAATAGCTCCATAAACGTTACCATATGAGCCGGCGTGCTGCTGCAACACACTAGATACAGTTATTTACCAAATCTTAGCTTAACACATATGTCATTCTCTGAACGGCCTCTTTGTCTTATGTAGATGGATCCGCAACATTTAAAGCACTGTTATTCTCTCTTTGTAACAAGGCTCGAGTGTTATTTTTTGTAATGCCACAGAACACTTTTAAAGCAACCGTAAGACTTCATATGAGCACAATCTGCAGAATTAAAAGTCAGCCAGAGCACAGCTTTGCAACTTGCCTTGCAAGCAAATCCTGGTTCCTTCCCTGCCACCACCCTTCAGACTGGTGGGGAAAGAATTAACGAAAGCAGAAAGAATTAGATACCTGAAGAAGAGCTTTTAGAAAGGCAGAGAGGAGCAGGAAGATAACGAACTCCGTGTCCTTCCAGGAGAATGGGAGGCTCAGCTGAAAATCTCCTTCCCAGAGGCTCTCAGAAAGGGATTTGGACAGGAGGGGAGGCAGGGATGGATAAGTTGTTGTAAGGGTGCGGCACAAGGAGCTGAGGTATGGGCAGCACAAGGGGTGAGATTTACTGTCCCCAGGTGTAAGCTTGCACTCCAGAGTGACACAAAGCCATTAAAGCACAAGGAGTTTTGGAGGGCTGCAGCTGCCCTGGGAGCAGAGATTGCTGATTTAGAGAGAAGGCTCCTTCTCCAAGCTCCTCTGTGGGCATGTCTCTGCTGAGCTTGGCCAGGGAAGACGGATGTGGAGGTGAGATGAAGAGCACAGATCTTTCCCTGTTTGTGCCAGACATCCACCTTTGGGAGAATCACCAATGCAGTGCTTGCAAGAAGCTGTCAAAGAGGCATTTTCCTCACCTGCTGTTGGAGCTATTGAAAATAAAAACATGATGATAGAGCCTGGGCTGTCAGGCAAAAGGAGATGGCGAGAGGGGAGATACGAAGAAAGTGTGGGCCTTGGAAATCCAGGCCCTGAAAGATTTAACTGCCAGGACTGCCTTTGGGAGAGAGAAATAAAACCAGACCAGTCACCTGAGGAATGTACGAGAGCAGGAGCAATGTCTTACCCAGGTGCACTTGGGGCTGTTGGAATTCATGGCTAAAACCTCACCAGCAACCCTCCCAACAGATCCCACCGGCTGGGTGCAGTACCAACGATCCAGTTGCTGCACTGGTGTCCTCCATGTGCTGTTTCCCCATCCCAAAGAGTCTTAAAAAGAACCTAGTGAATCCATCTCACCAAACTATGAATAAAGTCAAAACATCCATGCACAGCTCCTGCAAGAAGGTCCATCCCATGTTCAGTAATGCCATGGTCGCCCAGCAAAAGCTCTGAGCAGCTTGTGCATCTCACAGGAGCTTGGGCAGTTTTCACTTATCATCTTTGTCAGAAATAAGATTATTTAGGTCTATCTTCCTCCCTATCCACCGTCAGAGCTATTTACTCCTGGGGTCTGAAAATGCAGAAGTCATTATTGTAAAGATGGCATTTTTCATGGTAAGTATGAATTCCTACTTTTAGAAAATAAGTACCAATTTAACTAAGAGCTTTATAATAGACCAAGCAGTGCACAGGGTACAAAAAAAAGTGAGAGCTACGATCCAAAGAAACTAGTTTAGTGCTAGGATTTGGCACGAAAATAGTTACCTAGTAGCTGGTAGCTTTAATATTAATTTATTCATCTCTGGATAAATACAAATTAAAAATTAAAATGTCTTGTAACGTAATGCATGGAACCAAAGCACCACAGAGAAATTTGGAGAAGCAAATAAAAACTGCCATTGTAAACTACAAAGCCACTGCAGAAGGAGGGCAGAGAGGAAGGCAACTTGGAAATAAAAAAACTCCAGAACACCAACCGAACCACAACACGAAAGGAAGAAAGGAGGAGATGGCGGTGGTTGCAGCAGCGAGAGGGGGGCAAGGAAAAATGCCACTTAAAAAAATAAATTCACATCATCACAGCAGGGAGCAGAAGGAAATATTTAAACCAGCAATTTTGAGAACATAACCCAGACCCCCTGGTGAGTGACACCTTCTGTTTGCACCAGGCAAACACGCTCCAGCTGCAGGGCTCCCGCACTCCAGCCCCTGGGAACAATCCCTGGGGGTGCATTAGGTTCAGAGCTCAGAGCTGCACACAGCTGACTGCTGTCATCAAACTTTAAGCAAGGAGTGAAACACTCTGTAAAACAGTGCATTTTTCAAAGCCAGCAAGAGCCAAAAAGGGCCCATTTCAGGAAATCAATGATATTGTGTAAATGGTGCAGGCAGTAATAATACTGGGCAATACTAAATGGCATCCCCAGCACGTGCAGGAGGTGGTCAGAGGGAACAGCAGGGCCCCAGCACAGGATGGCCCTGCTGAGCTACACCACCCGTCCTTAATATCCTCATTCTCATCCAGCAGCTCAGTGAGGCTGGGAAATGCAATTTCTCCCACTTTCCAGGTAAGGGACAGAGATGCAGCTGCAGTGGATCACATCCAGTGATGTATTTAATAGCCCACTGCACATTTAGGTGCTTGAATTCCTATCTAAATCAAGAGTACAGCCTTTTGTGATGTGGGATGTCATCGACAGTGTGTGACCTAGTGCTTCCCCAAGTCCCAGTCTGGTCCAGAAGCAACTGGACTGTCCTCCTTAAACCAGCCAGAACCGTGACCAGGGAGCGACAGAAGTTGGCCTTGACAGGATGGGCCAGCAACTTTGGCCTCCAAAGGAAGGGAAACTGGGAAAATAACCTTCCGCTTCTGGGGTCTTGTGGGGAGAACTGGCCTCCAAAAGGAGAGATTTGGGGTTCAGACCACCACAACTCACTGCCCACAAAAGCTGACTTGCCAGAGCTGCACAGAAGGCAAGTGGCAGGTTTTTAAATATCACCAGGTGAGTCGCTGCTTCTAAGGACAATCATCAGCCTCCAAACAGTCACTGCTTCTAGCTTTTATCTGGAGACAGTGCTGGGCAAAGTAAGACACTCAGCTTCTTTAGTCCAGAGCAGACTGCATAGGTCAGATGGTTGAGGAAAGGCTAACTAATAAACACATAACACACAAGGGGTTACCTAAGCAGCCAATAAAGATGTACTGAAGTATGTACACTCATTCACTACATGGCATCAAAAGAAATACAGATTTTCTGACAGATTTTTACTTCCCACTGTTACTAAAACGCATCCCCTCCTTAAAGCAGCAGCTCACACAACTCTAATCCTTCCTGATTTATCTCTGACCGTGCCTGCAGCCAACAACTCAAGGCCCTAGCTTGGTACCATGCATGTCACAAATGAGATTTTGATTCTAAATGATCAGATATGGGGATGAGATTTTGAAATTACATACATTTTGTGCATAGCCTGCATTCCCTTTCTCTTTTTTTATCTGAACTGCCCATCCCATCTCCTACGCACCCTCATGTTTAAAATTGCATGGGGATGGTTTCTATTTTAAAAGAGGCATTCATGGAAACAGAGCAGAATGAGACTGCTGAGATTATTTTTACCTGAGCTCTGATTGCAGCGTCCTTCTTAATCCACTTTATCACTGTTTCATACACCAGCTCCTCGGCTTTGGTGTTCAGGCTGTCATTGGACATGTAGGAAATGAAGTCGTCTTTTGAGATATTAAGGATCTCTTCTTGGTTTGCCACCTCTGGGAAAATCTGCAGGGCATATGCTTTGGCCATGTTGTATAGTTCAGTGCACTGCATGGCTTCAGCCATGGCTAATATTCCTAAGCAGTTGCTAGCTGTCAGCTGTTTTTCTAAAAGGAGAAAAAAAAAAAAAAAAGGCAAGTGAGAATTATTAAAAGCGAGATTCACATTTTTACCGAGCTCATGAAAAAAATAAGTGCCACGGACAAGCCTCCAACCCTAATTAATTTCAGGGAGTTAATTAGAAGCAGCACCCTGGGTTACTTTAGGACTGGCATTTAAAGTACAAAAATCAAAGTCTGTCTAACAACTGAGCTGGGAATGGAGAGAGAAACGCACGTTCTGAGTTTGCTTTTCGTGTAAGCCTTCACAAGGCAATGGGGAAACCTACTGACATAATAGTATCTGGGGCTTCCCAAGGGACGGGAACCCAGCCAAGAGACTGCTGCTATTTCTACCGCCTACAATGTAGCTTTAAGGAACAGCAAAGATGTAAATGCCAGTGCAGACACTCAAGAATAAATGCAAACAGCACTAAGGACATTTCTGAGGATGCTGCAGTCGCTTTATGATAATTTTTGCCCTGTTCAGCTACTAAGCGACTTAAAAAAATAAAAAAAAAATCCTTCCCCCTCTTTTTTTTTTTCAAAGGAACTTTGTTGCTGCTGAATGTGATGACATCCCTTATGCAAAACACAGATTATACCAACGCCTTCTGTTAAATGTTGTGTAGTGAGTTTCAAAGAAAATCATGCACAGAGGAGACAGCATTATCTCCTACCCGGCAAACAGAAGTAACGGCACAGTGTGTAGCTTTGCGTTAAAACTGTGCTACACCATACATTTGATTGTACTTTTTTTCCTTTTCAGCTACTCTGAAGAAAAACCCACCAATTTCAGATATTTTTCTAAGAGGAGCTCTTGGATTCTTCTCAGCTTTTGTTAACCAAGCCGCTACTAATAGGCAGAATATATTCTTTTAAGATATAGGACCAAGGAAAAATAAATAAAAATAAGAAGAGACAGACTGCAATAGATCATAAAAGCACTGGTACAGCAGTGGGCTTCTGTGCTGTCAGAGAGGTATATCACATTTGGGCAGTGTCATATCCTAGTGCACTATTTCAGAGCACTGGACAGGAATGTGCGATAGCCCCACATCTCTTCAAACAAAACTCCCATCAGATTGCTTCAGCTGGAAATGCTCGGGGATTTGTCCCTGCGCCTAGCTTCTGCCTTCATCAAATTGAAAACGTGAATTTTATCTATATGTGGCTTTTATTAAAATGGGATTATGACCTACTTTTTTTTTTTTTTTTTTTAATTATGAGATTAGGGGTTTTGTGGTTTGTTTTTTTCTTTTTTTTTTTTTTTTTTTTCCCCTAACTCTTTTTATTTTCTTTTACACATCCAGCAATCTTGAAAATAGGTTATCTCATTTTGCATCAGTTGATTGTACTGACTCCAAAGAGCCCATTTCCTCAAGCAGACTGGAACAGCGGCACTGTTTGCTGTCACTAGATTTTGTCACTCAAAGACTGCCCAGAGACAGGCTGCGAACTGATAGCTATGAAGCACAAAGCTCCCACAATTTCTTCTTTAAAAAAAAAAAAAAAAAGAACAAGAACCAAAAACCTCTTCCAGGTTCCTTGGTTCTGTCTGTTGGCACAGTTTCATCTATACATATGGCTGGGGGTACAATAATCACCTAACAGAGCCCAAAACTCTCAGCATCGCTTGGCAAGCTCTCAAGTCAAAGACAAATCTGCCACTGCTCCACCTTATCCTCATAGGGTTTATAATAAAGTTAATAATCAAATTTGACTCATTAAGCAGCTGTTTACTAGCACACAATGGAAAAGACTTGCAAGAATGAGTCTTTGCTTTCAAGGAACTGCGTCTGCCTCCGTCAGGAGAGATTCCCCTGCCATCCCCAGCTGAGCCTGTGGCATGGGGCAGAAAAAGCACTGGTCACAACTGGTTTCTTCTGGTCTGGGCAGTCTTTTCTACCTCTGCCAATGCTGGGTGACTGATGCAGCCTAATACACTGTTGTCCACCTTGTCCCTTTGAACTTCACTCCTTCTTCTTCTCCAAGACACTGTGTGGTGGCAGATCCCACTGATTTTATTCCCGTGGGATTCAGCATGTACGATAAAGCCATTTAGAGAGGGGTTCCGGGGAGAGGCAGACTGGGGTACATTCAGGAGACTGGTGACACAATTCTTTGCACTTCATCTCTTTTGATGTGATGAGCAGCACAGCAAGGTGGGCACAGTGAGGTCTTTTTAAGATGAGGGCTGGCATGTCAGCTAGTGGGACTCATTCCAGGTGAGCAAAACAGAGGTTGGGGCAACAACTACAGGAGGTACAGAAAATCTCTATCCTGTGAACAGAAAGAAACCAGACCCTCCATTTTTCACCTCTGATGCAAAATTTGGGGGTGAGTTCAATCTCTCTTTACTCCAGCTGGCAATGGTGCAACTGAGCAATCATATTAGTATTCCCGTACACTCATTAACAAACAATTCCAAGAAGCAATCTGGTAATGTTTTGGATTAATCTGGTTATATTTTGGATAACGACTTGAGGATGAGCAGAACCATGCCTTACCAAGGCCGGTTAATCTCACCGACTATAAAGAGAGCCTCCATGACTACTTAGACATAGACTTCAGCCATATAATATAGCCCGTCCCAAGTGACTGCAATCTGGGGGCACTTCTGGATGCCAACATGACAAAGACAGCTAAGGACCAGTTCTGCTTCACCGGCTCCTGAGTAATTTTCCTTTGGACACTGACATGTTTACAATAATTCCTGTTTTTGCCATAGTGATACCGGACTTGTAGCAACGCATTTTTGTGGAGTTTCACCTTGAGTCCATTCAGTACATGGCTGCTGACTACTATGCTATTGCCAGCACTCAAGGACAGTTCATCACAGACTTATGAGTGGACTTCAAGGATATCAGATGTAATCTAGTAGATTCTCAGTGGTTTGAGAGAGTGCTGGATAGCACATTTGTTTCTATATATGTCACAATACTGCAGATCAGCAGCCGGTACTCTCTGCTTGTGTTAGATGTTATTTTGGAATGGGATCCTGTGCAGAGTCACCATGAGATAATTAACCAGGCAGACTGCTAAGACCACACTTCTGGGAGTGAGATGACTTGAGATAAAGTCAGAGATAGATGGCATGCAGGAAGGATTACTCAGCGAGACTGGGGTATGATGGAAGCTCAGTGGTTGACATAAGCCCCCTCCGTGTGCATTCAGTACTGTATTTCACTTAGAGTTGATTTCTAGAGGATGACTTGGATATCACTAGCATAAAATGTGCATTTCCTTATTGTACTCTGTGTACATTCTGATGGGGATCTTATTCCTCAGGTACGCTTACTAGTGTCAAAAGATGGAAGATAGGTGGAAGGCTTCCGGATGCATTAATCATCCAAAAGATTTCTCTTCCCCTGTGAGAGTGTTTCTCATTTCTCTTATCTATCTCCAGATACTGTTGATACTTCAGTTTTTCCAGTGCTGGGCAGTGTGGTTCTCCAGCTGGGTCAAAATTCTCCACCTTGGATGAACAAAAAATGACACATAATACTTTCTCTCGAATTTGTAAGGATCATCAAGGCCTCTTCTTCCCTCTGGTGCTTGTGCCTGTTCATGCAGGACTCATCACTGGTCTGTCGCTCAGTTTTTCTCATCGCTCCCTCTCATACTGTTTGCAAACTTTGTGTCCTTTGTCCAGGAGACTAAGAAAAGTCAGAGATCAGAGCTCCTGCTCTTTCCTGTTCTCCTCCATGAATCTAAGAGGTTCCACCAGCTTCTTCATACTTAAGGAAGAATACTTTTATCATCGGCAGGCTGAAGTACAAGCTTCTGTGTCGGGGGTCCCTGCATCACGGACCCAAACCGTGATTCTGATGAATCTCCTGAAATTGGATTTGAGCTACGACTGTGATGATAGCGTAAAACAAATATGAAAAAAAAAAAGAAAAACCCCTCAAGTCTTCAGCCATACGGATGCAGGAAATACCTTTGATGTCCTGACCCGTTTGCAAACATTTGCCCAGTTATCATATGGCGCCTGCATGAACTTGTCAGCATCGTTGCATCAGTCTGCACAAATCTGTTGTCATTTCTCATGGTCTACACAAAAGCAGGAGACAGCATGTCGGGGAGAGAGAACCTGGCTATAATTAGCCCAGTGAAGCTGGTTAAGAAATCTCCAGCTGAAATTAAAAAATTATCTGACACATTTGCAGCATGTTTCCACCAGAAAGTACAAGTAGATTTAGGGTACCTCTGCCTGATGCTGCTGAGAGGCCCAGGATGGAGACACAAGAGCTGCCTCAGCATCAACCAGTCAGGACCCTGCTGGAGCTTCATGTCTGAAAAAGGATGATCTGATTTTCCCCTGAGATGGTGCTGTGCTGAACAGACCTATTAATTATGGGCTCTTACTTCTTTGTGCCTCTGTGGACTTCTCTCCTCTTCTCTCACTGTTTAGACATGGCCACTGATGGGAAAGAATCACTGTTTATGCCGGTGAATTCTCCAGAAACCCTGGAAAAACCCCCTGATTTTTACCATATTTTTGCTTTGTGGGGAGCAGAGGTGGCTCAGATGAAAAGAAAAAAACACAGTCAATGAGAAGAAAAAAATGTTTTTCCCTAAACTTTTTAGATGGCAAATGCTCTGTTATCTCTGCAGAGCAATCCAATCACAGCTATAAACAAAAATAAGCAATTACACTCCATGAATTCTCCAAATGAGAATACAAAATTCCAGAGACTCCCCATATATCACTGAACTTATAACCAACTCTACTATTTCATACCATAACATGGTTCACAGAATTCAAATATTAACTATCGGAAAAGAGAAATCTCACATTGATTTAGTGAAACAAATTTATTTTGGTTTTGTGGCTGAATCTTTAGAGGTAGTGCAACTTAAACATATCTGTTCTGGAAAGGTCGTAACATCTAATAACATCTAAAAGGCGGTGAAGGGAAGCTGGGGGAATGCAATGCCAGAGGCAGAGCCCTCATTAAAGCCGCACAGCCAACACAGTGGGATTGCAAAACATAGATTTAATTTCCCCATTACCCATCCATTTGAGAACAGACTTTTAAACAAGTCACATATAAAAAGTTGGGAAGAAGTGGGGAATACAACACCACACATTATTTACCGATGCCTGCATCATACCAGCCTAGTCACATCATTCAACTTGCCAGCAGGCCAGCTTAGCACTGAAAATTAACACAGCAGTGAACTGGACCCATTTGAGTGGTTTTTTTTTTTGTTTTTTTTGTTTTGTTGTTTTGTTTTTTTTTTAATGAGTGCAACATTTTCTAAACTCTCATCTTCTACACTCTGCAATTGCAGATGTCAACTTCAAATGTGAACTGCTCAAGAACAACCTCCAGTTCTTTTGGGCTCCAGAGAATGATATCTCCCATACCAAACTAGGAGTTGAGGGAGCCCGAGTAGAAATCAGACGTCAAAAAAAAAGAGAACTGGAATTTGGACATGGGAAGTAAGTTTGAGCTTTTTGTATTCGTAAGTTTGTGTTAATAATTTGTAAATCATTACTGTCTCCTTAACTGATATTATAGTAATGTTAGTGAAAGAGTGGCACATGATACAGGCAGGAATTTGAACCAATGTGTTTCATTTGAACTCCAGTTCTGGCTCTTCTGCAATGACAGAAATGGGACTGGATGGTTCCAGTTCAGACCAATAAAGTTTAGCTAACTGAGCTGGCCATCTTGGGCTCTTTTGAAATAATCTATATTGGAAAATACAGAAAATGCAAGGAGCAGGATCACATGGTGCTCTGGGCAAGAAGGAATAAGCTTCTCATGTGGCCATGAGAGGACAGACAGAGGCACTGATGATGACCTGTACACCCTCGCTGGGGCAAACGCTCCCCATGCATGCAGGGCACACCAGTTACCAAGGGAGGGAACAGCAACCTTTCATTCCCACCCACCATTTGTGATGACACATATCCATCAGACCATAACTCTGTATGAAAGAACAAACCCCATGAACATTCAACCTGGAGTAGTTCAACCACATCATATTTACAGGAACACTGGACATGTGAAGGATTTTCCCATGGATGCAAGAAAATTGCAGATCTAACTCCTCTGTGGGAGTCCACCTCCAGCTCTGTCAGTGCTTGACCAAGCTGGCCTGGTGCAGCACCCAACATCTGCTGTGACAGCTATAAGCAGCCTGTGCATTATCGCCTGGTATCTGTGCAGAGATCAACCTCTAGGAAACAAACTGTCACCATGATACCAAGAATGAAAGAAATTTCAACAAAAAAAGTCTATCCAGGATGTAAAAGCAGTTGCCACTCAAACAACAGGCTATACTTCTCCAGATCATTTTCCACTGGCCACCATGTCAGCATTTCAAATTCAAATCTCAAGCCAAATGTGGTGGGTTTTTAAAAATTTTGTTATATTTAAATTTTGTTATCTTGAGTTTCTGAATGAATTCTTAGAAGAAGGGTTTAAAAACCTTAAAATGAGGTCTTAAAACCTCCCTTGATGGAGTGATTCTTACCTAGAAATGAAACGCAGACTTTACAGAAAGTATGAAACTGGAACTTGCTGGCAGCTTCCAGTAGGGTTTTTGCATTGGCTGAATCTATGATCAAAGAACCTGTATAAACAAACTCCAGGAGTAATTCCAGGACATCCGCAGTGAGGTTGGACATGGCCAATTCCAGCTTCTCCCCACTTCTGCTACTGTCTCGCGGTGACCTGGTAACAGCAGACAATTAAATTATGGACATTACACCATTCCCATTTTGTTGGCATTTATTGATTAGTGAGGGCTAGAAAATCGCTTTGCACCTCATTATATTTCTCCATTTTTTTTTGTTTACGGAACTGAAGAATATGGATTTTAAAATATCAACTTAAAAACTTTAACTGGATCTGAAAGAGAAGAGTCTTAAAGCAAGTCTTATAAAAAATCTGTTTATTGCTACTCTGCATTTTCATGCAAAAACAGTTGCAAAAGAAAAGGAAAGGAAAAGAAAGAAAGAAAAAGAAAAACGAATGAGCCAACATTGATGAAAATGAGGAACAGGATTAGCTTTCAAAGGGAAACAATACATTTTAACATCTTGGTTAACATCTCATCTTCTGTGTATAATATAACTGTTAAGGAAAAAACACTCTCCAATTTCAAGAGAAAAGGTCATCTACTCTTTGAGGAATCCAGAGTGGGATAATTTTAAATGTCATGTGCATTTAATGATACATTTACAGACCTTTTCATAAAAAATAACAATAATAAATAATAATTTCTATTTAGTTTGAACTTCTCAGTACGTTATATTAAAGTGTAGATATGATAGATATGATATGCATATACAGACGGTCTTATAAAAAAATGCTTATTCTAAAAATCTATTGTTCCCTTTTAGGCACTAAAAAAAGGAAGCCCTTCATGGCAATTGCTTTGAAAACCGAATACAAGACAAGATAGACAGACAAAATGGTTAGAGCAAAGAAGGGAGAGGGGGGAAAACAACAACCAGCTCTGCCACAGGAAGCCAGCAGCCATCCTCTAGGAGTTTCATGACTGTGGCCTACGGTTTTTCCTGCACGAAGTGCTGAACAATTTGGGGATCAAAGTATCTCCTGCATTTGAAGTGTGGATTAGTGCTTGTGAAATTAGTGGACAAAAAGAAAATTATACTGAATTAAAGTAAGGGCCGAGTTCTTAATGCATGGTTGGCTGATGTGTCTGCAACACTAAAGACAGGTTACACCTGAAAGACAAAAGTGATCATAAATTTGGTAACATCAAGGAGGGGAGGGGAATCTGTTGGAGTAAGAAAATAAACTCTTTTAACGGTTAGGACCATCCAGCATCTTCTCAAAGAAACATGAACTTCTCCTAGTCACTGACAGTCAATGTCTGCTTGCTGCAACTCTGCTAGAGTACTTGCAAAAACCATCACACGAATGACACAAAACCGGCACACAGTGCTGCGTGACTTACACGGACTGGCCAAAGCATCACTGTCACAGGCAACGCCAGCTTTAAGCACGAGTAAGAGCACTACCAGCCTCTTGGATTCACAAAGCTGCCTAGAAAGGTGATGGTCAGACCTCTACTACCATAATGGAGGAAAAGTAAAAACGTAAGACGTTCAATTTTGTTCCCTCATAAAACAACACAACACCCCACCCACCCCAAAACCCCCTAAAATCATCTGGGGGAATGCTTGCAATTTGCAGTGGATGCTTTGTCACTGGTCTTCCATTGATTAGCCCTGTTCAAGTCAAGGGCACAGTTTTAATTTATACGAATCTTTGCAGGACCAAAGCTTTAAAGAGGTTTCATTTTTCTACTGAAATTATTCAGCTGGTGTCCACTACCACAGCGGAGGAGCAGCTAGCAGTGCTTAATTTCATATGCTTAGAGATAAGGTAGTGAACAGTGGTTGTTCCCATTTACAAAAGGAAACTGAGGCACGAGGAGATAAAACCACTTGCCTATGATCATAGAGAAAGTCAGGGGCAAAGCAAGGAGCATGGAAATACTCCATTTTATTCTAAATATTAGACTATCCCTTTGCATGCGAATACAGGAGGGTTAGATCCTATTCCACAAGCAGATGGATAAGAAAACGTACTGATTACGATACCTGTGGTACCTCTACATGCACAGATGTGTATGCTACCCTGAATCCTTATGCTTTATCACACCACAACAATCTTGTATATGAATTCAATTTTGCACTCAAGGCAGAAAACCTCAGGTGTCAAAACAGAAGAGTTGACATTTCCTAGATCCTCAAGAGGATGTTGCAGATTTTTTTTTTTTCCCCCACGCTCACACACCAATAACATTCCCCATATCCGATTTATCTCCAGTTATGCACGCATCCTGAGCTGCAGCCTGGGCTATCAAAATGCCTCCTGGTACTGATGTAATTCTTGCTGAATTGTTTCCAGAAGCGGCTTGTTCCTGACAGTGAGTTCATATTCACATGGGCTGGCTAACAGGGACATTGCCTAAAATTTAAGTGAGATCGAAGGTACCCAGCGAGCGACAGGATCAGGAAGCCGCACCATCAGCAATTATTTCTTTAACGCCACTAATTGCACTGTGCAGGCGATGGCTGCGGGACTGACTGAAAAAAAAATCACACAGCCTCTCCCAGCGCAGGGACGAGGAGGCACAAAGGAAAGGATGACGTGACACCAGTGTCAGCGTAGACACATCCCCATGTCAGCAACAACTGCAAGCTGCTATTTTTCAGAATAATTAAGTAATAATCTCTTTTACTTTGTAATACACCAAGCAATAAACTGCTGCTGCAATTGATTAAACGCCAAAGAAAAGCTAAGGTGTTTAATCAATCACTAGAGCCACTTACGGCACGTATAATACAAAGCTACAGAGATTATTGATATTACACAATGTGCCAGAAATGGGAAAGAAAATTATCCCTATTCCTTCCTCTGCAATGCCTTCAACGTGTTGTGCTGCTTTGCTTCTGCTTTCTAAGCAATGAGCACTTCGGCTTCACGTTTAGCTAGATCAAATCCTGAGCCAAAGGGAAATCCCAGCTGCCCTGGTTTCCATGCTGGGGATCTGGCTCAGTCGAGCCGGAGAATGGACAGGGAATTGGCTGAAGCAGGTCCTAATGGATCAAAAATGAGTTTTTGAAGGGCTGGAAGAAAATAATGTGGGGACACAGACCGATGTGACTGAAGTGGGAAATGAAGAGATAAATTTCCATACAGTTCTTCTCTGAAATTATTTCAGTGAATGAGGTTGTGGGATCCCCCTCCAAGCCTGACTAAAGCTTTCTGTGTTCCTTGTATTCACATGTATTAAAATATCAATATGCTCTGTGCCGTTACACTTCATATATTTGGGATGGAGCCTTCTCTCAGCTACTCTAGAGGAACTGCAATGAAGGGGCTAACGCAGTATTACAAGAACAGAATTAATTCAGTCCTGCAAATGCATATGCAGCGGATTGGGGAAAATCCGTATGAATGTATACAGCTGTGCCTCAAACAGCTCATCATGTATCACATCAGGAGGAGTTTTGTCAGCAGCATCAGTAGATGCAAACATTTGGAAAAGTCTCCTCTCAGAATAGCAGTGACTTCTTGCCTTAAGAGCTGGGAAAAGATACAGCTCTGCCTGGTACGTACCCTCCTGTTCCCCAGCTCCTGGCACAAACACGGGGTATTTGGGGAACGGACAGCCTGCCTGCTGTGTGTTTCAGTCTCACTTGAAGCCAGGCAATGTACACTTATCATCCGTGGACATCATTAAATGTGGCACATTCTGCTATTTGCCCTGCAAACTCTGAAGTTTAAACAGAATGATGTCATTTTATTGGCCTTGTAATCATTGCTCATATTATAAAGGTCACACATTTCACATCGTGGCAGAAAATCAATAGCTCTCCCAACAGCCTCTGGGGGAAAAAGTTTTGCTTCTGAAGAGTAATATATAATAAACAATTTTAGTCCTTACTTTATCATGGCTGTAATCTTGGAGAATAGCTACAGTAAAAATCTGGCAAAGGCTGATATATAAACTCATTAAAATTAGGAAGTGATTTAGAACAGGACTTTTTAAAAGATTTATCTTGAGCTAAACAGCAAAGAGGTTTGTTTAGGTCTACATTTAAACAAGCTCTGAGAGCTCTTTAACAGCTTAATTTTACAGTAGCTGCTGGGGAATTCTTTCAGATTTACAAATCACGTATTTCTCCAGCAAGGTGATAGACCTGAGCAGCGTGCAAGCAGAACTGAACCTGCAGATAAGCAGGAAGCACAGATACTCTGAACAAGTAAGGGGGAGTTACTGAAAAATATTTTGTATTGTCTGGAATAATTAGGTCTAACAAAATAAAGCCATGGCCTTTGAACATATGCCTGCTACTTACCCTTCAACTTCACTACTTAAACTAGAGAAGACAAAGGCACGGGGAACCTTTTAAAGCAAAAGATGGCTCGACTATATTCTCAAATAACAAATCAAAATTGGCGTCCCTTTCTGTTAGCTAACATATAAAAAAGAGCTAAAGCCTTTAAATACCGACAGCAGGAAAAATAGTCCTGAAACCTCATCTGCAAGATTAGGAGTGGATGTGACAAAAGAAGAAGTGGAGAACTTTGTATTTTTGGTATTAATTTGTCCTTGAAAATCATTTCCATACACGTAATACACACAGACAGGAATCAGCACTAGTGTTTTATTGCTTAACAGCAACGCAACCGAGTTTTCTGTATCTTCAGTTAAAAATACTTGTATATCTATGCATTTTCCCTGTATTATTCGTATCAACATGTTAATTTAGGAGAACTTCAGTGAGATTCTGTTCAAAACATTTAATAGTGAGATGCCTTGATTTGCAAAGCCACATTTACTAAAGTAGCTGTGTAAGTGAAACGCCGCGAGTGCATCAATTTGTCAATTTATGGACAGCGCTACCACCTCTAATTCAGGCTTCCCTCCTGGTTTGGATATGCTGCCTTTAACTGGCTTGCAACATTATTTTGACTGACTAATGGCTTGGCTACAGCCTCACTCAATTTTAGATCAAATAGGAAAAGCTACCTATACCCTGTACAGATGCCAGCCAACTCTCTGTTTACAAGCTATAGTCACAAAGTCAAAACAAATTCTGCATGTTCAAAATGGAGCCATCTGCACGGAATAAACATAAAAAATGTGAAACATTTTATGCAAATGTACATTACTGCCTAGGAACAGT